ATCTCTCACTCGTGTTCTCATCCTTATACTTATTATTTCTCTCTCATCTCTCCTAAACTCCCTTTGCCACTCTCTTATTCATTTTTTCTTTCTAGTTATGTGGTCCTATGCTTTCTCTCTCTTTTTCTCCCTTCTCCCTTTCTCTCTCCCTCTCCCCTTCCTCTCTTTATCTGCTCCTCACATCTTTCTTTTCTCCTGCTCTCTCCCTTTCCCCTTTATTACTGTATCTCTCAGGCTCTTCCCTATTCTCCTTCTCCTTCTCCCTTAACATCTTCAGCTCTAGTTCCCTTTTCTCTCCCTTTACCCGCCTGTCTTTCCTTCTTTCACTGATTCTCCTTGTCTGAGTGCTCCCTTGCCAGTGCACTGTCTCCACTCTCTCCCTCTCCTGTTCACATCAACCCTCTTACAGGCACTGTCTCCTATGCCCCGGTTCTCTTTTACTCTTGCTCCCTCACTGCTTCCTTTTCTCTCCAGCTTCGCTTTTGTTCTTGAGGAAGCACATGCGCTCTGTTTCTTGCACATGCTCTTCTTCTCTTCAGATATTGATTGAGGTCCCACTATGAGTCACCTACTTTGCTACTTCTAATGATATAAAGATGAATAAGATATGGCGCATGCTTTGGGGGAATTTGTGGTTTGATGGGGAGAGAGTTCTGTAAAAATACCATAACTACTATACATTGTGCCAAGTGCTAAAAGAGAGATATGTGAAAATCAGTGACAGAAATTGCCGATTCAGGGTATAACCAAAGTGATAGAGTTACTTGTAAAATTATAAAAAATGAGACAAAACACTAATCATACTGTTTTTATGTAATAGTATAAGGCAAGAGACCATGTATATGTATAAATACAAACACATTGAATGCTCAGAAAAAAACATTTTCCAGGGCACTGTATAATCAAAAGATTCTTAGGTATATTTTGGATCATTAAAGAAAGATTATATGTAAAGTTATATTTGTGTTGGAAAATTAGTGATTCATATATATTGTATATCAAAAATCTAATTAGAATATCTTATTCAACAATCTTTTTGGATAAATAGTAGGTGACGCTAAAAATTCTCCCCAGATCCTTAATTGTTAGGGTATCTATTGTTTTTCTATTTAGATTGTGTAGTCTCCTGCTATAAGTTGGTTTTTAGGAGTAGCTTTGAATACCTTCAGTACCAGGGCCTATTTTATTATCCATCTTTAACTAGTTGATGTAAGAGAGTAATATTCTTGCCACCTTTCATTTTTTATCCTGTCTTCTCCTTATTTGCCTTTTTTAAAGAATTTTTTGAGAAGGAAAAAGTTAGGGAATAAAAGCTGATGTAACATTTGAAACTGTTAATAATAATTGCTATAATAGTAAGTATTAGCAGGAGTAAAATACGGTGCCAGTACATCAAAATGACACTGAATAGGCTAAGCCTGGGAATTAACCCCAAAGCCCCCAATTCAGTATGATTACTATAGCACATTGACTCTGTAGTAGAAGAAACAATAGGATGAATCTGAGAGGCAGCAAAGACTTTTCAGCATTTCTTTACATATAAATCATCTTTGTATCTTATCACACTCCTATTTTTGAAATAACAAAGCCAGCGTAAAAGTAATATACATCCAGTAGGTAGGTACATGCATATGTACATGCTTATATACTTATGTACATAAACTTGTATCTTTTTTGTCCTGACTGAGGAGTCTAGATACCATCATATTTAATTAGTCAGTAGCACATTCATAAATTATGTTTTAATCCACTACTCACTTTGTTCAAGTAAACAGTCATTTGTAAAGGCAAGTATGTCTAGTTTTCACAGATTTTTCATTTTAATCCTGCAACCAAGTTTATCAAATATATTAAATCACTTTAGTCCAACAATTGATCAGAATTTATGGAGCACCTACTAAGCTAGACATTAGAGACAAAAAAAGATGCCTGAAAAAGATTCCTGGTTTTGATCTTGAAATCTAGTGGAATTCAAGGACAAAAGTCTTTTAATCAAGATTAGCTTTGGGACCAGAAGGGTGGGTTGAAAGAAAGTACCTTTTATTTTGGGGTCAGTAACCCTGCTGACATATTAGATAAATTCCTAAATGTGGGTTATGGAAAGAAGCTGTGAATTGTTTGAATAATGAACATTTTCTCCAGAAAAAAAAAATACATGCTTTGACAAGTAATAAGATAATTAATTCATTTATTTATGTTACAAGGTAGAATTACATACTATTTCTGATAGGCTCTGTTGGAATATACATGACAGGGCAAGTCTCCAACATAACTGGATAGAGTACGTTTTAAAGAGTTTGTTTTCTTTAGAGTAAAAATTGTATTATCTAGAAGTTAACATAAAAAGCTAGAAAAAGCAGTATTTTTGATGCTTCTGCTACATTAAGGACCAGAATGATTAACTGCTGTCAGCACCCTTTGAATAATGTTTGAACATATAAAACTGCCAAGTTAGAGTTGTTTCTGATGACTTTAACTAAGCCAAAAATACCTTATGGAAAGATAGAATCTTTCCCCAGTGCTTCGCACAGGTAGGAAGCAGAAAGCTTCAGAAGTCCATGGAGAAAAGGACAGATATTTTAAAAATAGTTTAATCAGAATTATGTGAAGCTGGAATTAATTCTAAAAACAGGTAATTGAAAAGTTTTTGCTAAATTTATTACTCTTTGAAAAAGAGTGATAGAAATGTAAACCTCAAGTTGTTTCTGAGATATTTCAGAAATAATTTTATTCTCCTTCAGGTCAAGCCCTGCTTTCCAAAAATTTGAAATCCGAAAGGTACAAACAAGGCAGAAAGCATAAGGAGTTCTTAGAAAAGAAGGTCTTAAGTTACAAAATCCCTCTTTTTCAAGTTTTTCTACTTTTTAGCTTTGGATCCTTCTTTGTGCATTTGTCTGGTTCTGTTCTTCCTTCTCTGGTGGCAACTTGAGGGTTACATTTCTGTAAAAGGTCTTTCTAAACCCACCTACTCTAAGAAGGTCTTTTGATTGGCATGTAGAAATTTTATGGCATTCTGCTATTAAATATAATTCATAATTAAATTCACTTCCTTATTTTTACAATATATGCACAATAAAACATACTACTATAAATACTGGGACTTTGCTGGCCACTTATAACCATATAATACTAGTATGGTTTAGAATCCCTGAGCACATGTAAATTTATTATTAGATTTATAAGAAATAATAATTCAGTTTACTTTGTTCTTCCTTAGGTATGTTAGAGCGGAAGTTCTGGCTGGATTTGTCAATGGTCTATTTTTGATCTTCACTGCTTTTTTTATTTTCTCAGAAGGAGTTGAGGTACAGTAGATAACCATTAATCGGTAAATTATATTTCTGTAACAAAAATGTTTATTCACTGAAGATACATGTAATAGAACTGTTTTTCACACTATTATTTATTGAGGACAGTCTTGGATTAGATCAGATATTATCTGTGTACAGGAGGAGCTTACAAAATAGTTGAACAAATTAAATATATGTGTAACTACTTGAAATTGAAAACAATTAATTATGCTTTATAAGATATGAATGAAGTGTGACACTTGAATGTAAAGGCACAATACGGTAGTGAGGTCTGTTGGAAAGAGTTCTTAAAATAGAATCTGAGAGTTTTGCCAGTGAATCTTTAATATTTGGTATATTAAAACAAATAAAGAGAAGATTAAAAAATTAATGAACTTAACATTAATGACAATATTTTAAGATACAATGAATGGTTTTTAGACCAAATATTCATGCTTTAAATATTTGTATTTATTTAAAAATAGTAATAGTTACCTTTTCAACAGTGTGAGAGTACTGGTTTTATTTCAGTATACTGTTGTGGCAGATTTTTTTTAGAGTGATTTTAATTCTGAAAATAATTAAAAATTCTAAAAAATTGCTTTTTGTTATTACCGGTTGATCAATCAGAAGTTATGTCAATGCAGTTTGTATTATGTGTTTTCTAGAGAGCATTAGCCCCTCCAGATGTACACCACGAGAGACTGCTTCTTGTTTCAATTCTTGGGTTTGTGGTAAACCTAATAGGAATATTTGTTTTCAAGCATGGAGGTCATGGACATTCTCATGGCTCTGGTATGATGGTTAGAACCCTTTGCTTCTTCATTTTCTAATGTCTTTCATAGTTATTCACTATTGAAAATTGATAATTTTTAAAGTTAAACTCTATATTGATTTTTAATAACAAAAGTAATATGTTAATAGACTCTTAGTAATGTCTTCCTGAACCATCCCTTCTACTTCTCCATGCCCTGCCCTCTCAGTGCCTTCTCAAAGTTACACATGTTATCAGTTTGGTTTGGATCTTTCCAGACCTCTGCAGGTTATCATCTGTTTACTATGATATCATTTATATAAAACAAACAAATAAACATCAAAGACCACAAAACAAATCTAACTACTAAAAAATTACAGTGTATGTGCGTATGAAAATTACTATACAATCCATCTTTGAAATCCTTCCATTTGGCATCCATTAGTCTACCTTTTCTCATTAACAAACACATAAAACTCCATGGTGTGGGGTATGATGGTTCATCTTACCAGTCTTCTATGGATACACTTCAAGTTGCTGCAAGTTTTTCCTATTCCATGTGAGGAATATCCTTGTGAACACATGCGAGTGTTTCTCCAGAGCTGTGCTTTCCCAGATGGTAGCCACTAGTCACATGGGGCTGTTTAAATTTAAATTATGGTTAATTAAAATTAAAAATTCAGTTACTCAGCTATACTAATGACATTTCAAGTGCTTAGTAGCCACATCAGGCTACCATATAGGATAGCAAATATAGAACATTTCTATCAAAACAGAAAATTCTTTGAATTGTACTGCTCTGGAATATAAGTAAAATGGCAGGAACTTAGGCTATATAGTCTTTAATTTCAGTAGACCAATTGCCCTTCAAAATGACTCATTCACATTTACCCCAGCAATAAATGCAAGTAATAATTTCCTCCCACCTACATCACAACTTAATATTATGGGTTTAAAACAGTTTTGCTAATATTTTGATAAAAATGGTATCATTTTTTGGGGTATTTTTCTGACTATTAGTGAGATTGAAAATCTTTCTGTATGTTTTTAGGTCATTTAAGTTTTTCCTCTTCTGGAATTGTCTGTTTGGGTGTTTTTTTGTTTGTTTGTTTTTCTATTGTTAATCCATTTATACACATTTTTCTTTCCTGCTTATCTTCTTGCATAACCAGGACCTCTAGCACAGTGTTGATTAGAAATACTGATAGCTTGTATCCTTGTGTCAACCTGGGAAACTTTTAAAAAAACACTAATGCCCAGATTTAATCCCAGGACATTTACATCAGAATCTCTGGAGGAAGAGACCCAATATGTTTTAAAGCTCTCCAATCAACTTTAATGTGCAGTCAAGGTTGAGAACCATTGCTTTAATGAAGACAACTACTCAAGTTTTACCATTGAGTCCAATGTTTATGGTTCATTTCTGATAAAACTGCTTTGTCAACTAAAGGATATTCTTCTATCTGTTGTAGTAATCATTTTTACCTCCTTTAGTTAATTTAAAATTAGTAATTACATTGATAGTTTTTTCTTATGAAGAACCATCCTTAAATTTGGTGGTTAAAATGTATTCATTTAAGTCTGTGATCTATTTTGAGTCAGTTTTTGTATATGGTTTGTGGTATGGGTCCAATATTATTTTCTTTGTGTATAGATATTCAGTTGTCTCAGCACCATTTGTTAAAAAGATTATTTTTCCCCACTGAATTGTCTTAGCACCCTTGTCAACAATCAATTTACTATAAATGTGAGAGTTCATTTCTGGACTCTCAATTCCTTTTCATTGATCTGTATGTCTATCCTCACACCACCACCATGCTGTCTTGATTAATGTAACTTTGAGGTAGGTTTTGAAATCGGAATATGTTAATTTTTCACCTTTATTCTTTTTTTTAAAAAGGTTTTGGCTATTCTGGGTCCTTTCTTGTATTTCCATATAAATTTTAGAACTAACTTGTCAATTTCTGCTTTATCTCTTTCCTATACTATATAGTAGGAACTCAGAATTGTTTTAATGAATTTGCAATACTTTTTACAAGTAAATGTTTATTGAATTGATCATGGTTTTAGAGCTAATTCTTTTCACTAGTATTAGCATTATTGTAATCATTACTTAATCTGTTTTTACATACCGTTTGTTCTAACACTGTTTCTAGGCCATGAACACAGTCATTCCCTTTTTAATGGTGCTCTGGATCAGGCCCATGGCCATGGAGATCATTCCCATAGTCATGAACTGAAACATGGTGCTGTGCATAGCCATGATCATGCTCATGGTCACGGACACTTCCATTCCCATGGTGAGTACAGCCTGAAGCCTTTCAAATGGCAGCTCTCCAAACAAATAGAAATCATGCAGATTCCTTTTCTGAGGTGAAAAAGTCTTAATAATATTGCAGTCAATTAGACTAACTGGTTCCCTGGGCTAATTCATTTTTAGTATATAATGAAATTAACTTGGTATAAGGCAATAGATGTAGCTTTTTTTCAGTGAGTATATTATAACAAAAAACCACTGTTTTAAATGAGTGTCAGTAAGTGAAGAACAATTGCATTTTAGCAAATGAAAATCATGATTTTTTTAAAGTATGATGAGGCCTTTTGTGCAATATATAGGCTTATTAAAATATAGTAGTTTTCAGTTTTTCACATTTTCATTATAATTTTGATAGGTAACACCTGATATTTACATCAGTATGCCCTTAGGAATCTTTATATGGTAACTTACATAGTATTAGGTACTAAGTTATAAAGTATTTATCAACTTAATTAATATTATGTTTGAAAATTTTATTTTAAATAGTTTATTCACAAAATTTGAGAGCATAGATTAATAGAGCTATTTAAGTGATACAGTTTGATTAATCTTTAAATAAAATATATGCTTAATATATTTTAATATATTAATATATTCTATGTACGTGCCAGATAGAATGCTAAAGCTAAGATTTGAAAATATGAAAGGGGCGTTGGAGATTGAGTATAAGTCCCTAATGTTTTAGTCTCTAAAATTTGCTATATTTTGGAACTATTACAGTGGTATGCTTTAAAACCTTGCTTTTCTAAATTTTTTGCCCACATGCATCCCAAAATAATTTTGAAAAACTGTGTATCCCTCACATTTTTAAGATGATTTCTAAAAAAAATTTAACTATTGCAAAGAATATAATTTCTGATACACTACAGATAATATTTTAGAATGAAACTTCTTTATTACCCTGTGGAATGTATTCAGTGGACTTTAAATACCTTAGTGATTTGAAACCCACTATTACCAATTCAAAAACATGTGTGCAAACAGTTGTAAATTTTATAGCATTTTGTTTTTCCTTGAATTTTTATTGTCATTTCATTTCCTTTACAGAATTTTATTTTATTTTTTATTTATTTATTTTTTTAAAAGATTTTTATTGGGGAATTGGGGGAAGGAGAACAGACAAGTTGCTGTTCTTTTGTTCTTCAGTCTAGTTGTGGAGGACGTTGCTTCACTGGCACAAGTTGGCACCATCATTGCGCTCTTCCCCGGCGAGGCAGATCAGTCGCTGGCTTCTTGAAGGCCGCTCACAGCAGCTGGTGGCCGCTCACGCTGGCTGCTGGCTACACACGGTAGCCCATGGCAACCCACCTGCCATCGCTGGCGACTCACGGCAGCCCAGCTCCAGGTTGAGCTGTTGTTCAGCATCTTAGCTGTAGAGGGCAGTGTCACTGGCCCTCATATGTGGGATCTGAACCAGGGCCCTCTGGTATCCCAAGCCAGCTCTTAACCAGTGCGCCACTCGGCTGGCCCCTCCTTTACAGAATTTTATAATAATGCAGTATATTTGTGTTATGTCTTTAACTGATCATCTGTTACATTTCTTGGCAATAAAATATGCATATAAATTAGAATATTTTATTTCCTAGGAACATAAAACTTAGCATTTAAATGTTTCTTTTGGATGGAGTAACTGTAATTTTTACTAGTATACACACCACCTAACTCAAGGGAAATGTGGTTTAGTTGTTTACCAAAGAGGAAGAAGAAATAGGTTTGGTAAGCAACTAGCTACTCTCTCCACAACAGAGAAAAAAACTTTATATCCAGAAGGACTTGCAGATTTTGCATAGATGGGAGTTACGTTGTCTTATATAGCTATTATACAGCAGAATATACCTTTCAAAGTAATCATGTCAAAAATGACTGTCTTTATCTGGACCTACTACCTATAGACAGAAATCTGTTGCCTTGATCAGGAGCCGGATTGTTACAACAGTTACACATTTGACTCACAGTAGGATTTTCAGGGGAGCTGCATTTTTCTTTCCACACAGCAGTGCCACATCCAGAGAAATTGTTGTGTAGTCTTCTGCTTTTGTACCTCTTCTGGCATTGTCAGTGCTCTGTCAAGGCTATAGTAAAAGTCATCTTTTTGGTGCTGTGAACCAAGAACCAACCATGCCCCAGGCAGGCTCCCTGTTAACTCTGATCAGAAAGCTTGATCTTTTACATTGTTTACCTATATTTTCTGCTTTGATATTAAATCTTAATATAAATTTTAAAGATATAAAGTCTTCAAAGTATTTAAGGATATAGATTGCAGTATTTTTTCATCATAAAGGCAAAATGAAAAAGTATTTTGATCTCTTCTGTGTGAAAAGCTTGCCACATCCATCTAGAAACTATTGGAAAACTACGAGGTATGACCAAACAATATGGTGAATGTTTAAATTAAAAAAAATTTATTACAGTAAAAGACACATTGCCATTAAT